TATGAATAGTTAAACTACCTACAGCTCTGCTGAAGTTTGCAATGTAATTACTCTGCAGCAGTTGGCAGAACAAATATGCACATATTGCTTCAGTTTCTTCACTCTGAAACACTCTGGGCTGAGTGTGAAGGAGTGAAGAACACTCCTTCCATCTTGCCAACAGATTGCTTTCTAGACAGATTTTTCTCTAGCTCCTGAAGCCTCATCTCCTGCTTCTGGTCTCCTATTCTCTCTCTAGTGTAGCACTAGAGGTGCTACTAAAGGTGACAGTTGTTCTCTAGGAGGTCCTCCCCACATCCTGCTTTTAAAAAACAAATACGCACATCCCCCGAAACAAAACCCAATTTGTGAAAATCGGTATCTCACAGCAGTTCTAAACCACTGGTTAATGTCACCTAAGCCCTGCCAAACATCAGGGTTTGACACACGGTCCGTTCTTGGATCTGAGCTCATCAATACACTTTGGCATTGTGATACTTACAGGCAGGAGGTGAGAGAAAACACACTTCAAACATATTTAACTAGTCCAAACCAAAACATCTTTTTCCACAAGTTTTCAGTCACGTGGGATGTTCATGAATTCAACCGTACTTCATATGCTATACTAAATCTTGAACTTCCTACCCAAATGCTATTTGCTAGCTGATATGGCACTCCAGTTCAATCCACTCCTAAGCACAGAGAAAAGTCAAGGAGAAATAAGCCTGGGTATTTCCTCTTTTAGACTTTTCCAGAACTTTGTAGCAGCCAACTATATGCTACCCATACAAATCAATCAACACATCAATTGCCTAATCCTCTGCATAAGCAGGGTTTCAAATGTATTGTTTTGACTAAAAAGCTTGTGAAGATGTACACTTTACTTAAAGAGTTGCTATAGCAACTTTTTTTTTTCCCCACATTACCATGGTTTGAAAAGTTTACATCCCCTGCAATTTAAAGTGATGTCTTGAGATAGCTAGCACACCAACCGGGTACATTATGAACTCCCTGTTCACTAAACTAAAATTGCAAGGGCCAGCAAAAAACCAAACAACCCTAAACAGCAATCCTTGAACACAGGCAAAAAACTATACTCAAGAAATCAACTGTGATAGTTGAAATGTACACATAAGATATAAAATGGAGCACAAGTTAAATTACTGTTTCATATACTTGGATCTCCTGCTTTCAGACCTCTTGCTTGGATTCACTTGTTCTTCTAATGCAAGTCTGACTGTTTTATCTTCCTTGTGCTCACCTTACCCCTTCATACACACTTTATTGCTCTTCAAATCCACAGCCCACCCAGCCCCAACATTACTCAAAGTATATGTACACACACACTATGGAACAACATAACCAAGAGTGTAGGTGCTTTATTTATAAGAATGTACACATATAAATGCACCTAAAAAACGCAGTCCAGAAAACAAAGGACAGAAATGTAATCAGTCAGGACCAGCTTTGAAGATGTTTGAGTAAACAGCACAAGCATGTTCCCATAATGAATTCCTCCCCGACTGCCTTCACTTCTGCTCAATGATTTTCCTAAGTAGCAGCCAGTCCTCAGTTTAATTGCATGGCTCTTGTCGACCAAGCTTACAAATGGTAAGCATTCAAGCAGCCTTGGCAGAGGCAGTAACTACAGCAACTCAAGAGGCCAAACAATCCTGCAAACAAGAGAGTTCAAAAAGAAGTGAAAATAAATTTTCATGCCAGGTACTGAAGGTATTTTAACTTGGATTGGTATTTTTTCAAGCAATAAATTTAACGGGAAGAGATCCTTTAAACAGGCAACCAGCAAACCAGCAGAAGTGTGCAACAGCTACAGCTTGCTGGAGCAAATTATGCAACATCAAGCTACCAAGGTTTTACACAGTTCAGCAAAACTGTGGGAAGCTTTGAAGTGTACCCATCAAGGGCTTTAAATGAAAACTTGAGATGCAATCAGCTGTCAAGAACATACATGAGAACTCCTTGATTCATTTTGCTTTAGGTTGTTGTAGGATTGTTTTTAAGGATGTAGCGAAGTGCTATTTATACTCTTTGTTTTAGCTGCCTCACTGGTAAGTGCAAAATCTGACAATTGATGTCAAATATTCTGTCACATGCTCCAATGATAAGTGATTTATGGAAAGAAGTTATTAATGTAACAATATTGTAGCATTATCATCTGAATAAACACAGCATTATTAAAATATTAGTATAGTAGACTATTGAGAAATAATAAGCAATTTTGTCTGCACAACATTCATAATCCCCATGGTTTATTTCAATATATATTAATCTAAATAAAATTGATATTTGTAAAGTCTTAACACCATGATCTTGTAAGAGTGAATATTCCACAAGCGAGAAAACAGGGGAAAGGGAGTTAGGGAAATACAGGCAAGGTCACACGTTGCGATGAGAGGGCAGGTAGAGATTATTTGCTCATTAACACTTCCAACGTAAGTGCTAAGGGGCACCTGATAAAGACAGTTTTGTAACCAGGTTTAAAATTAACATCATGACATAAGGGGCAGCTGAACTGCATAAATCCTAGCCACAGAACACCCAAATGTTTATGTGTAAGCTCGGGAAGAAAAAAATCACTGACGATTCCTAAACGAAAAGAAATTCATTAATTCCTTGAACTGCAGGTGTCAGAACTTCATGGAAACATCAACATACATTAGTCCTGCTTGCAGGCCCTCCCTCCCCCAGGTAAATTCTTCCCTCTGACAGATGGAGTTTTGATCCGTCTCAGTGCGGCTGTCCATACAGCCTTACATTCCCCAAATTCTGATCACAGCATGCAAGAAGGCATGTTCTGACAATAACCAGAAGCTTTAAAACAGATCTTGGCTCTGCATATTGCTCAATCAAACAGAGGGAACAAGTCATATTTGATTATAATTCTAAGATCTACAATAAAATGGCTTTTAACCCATGTTGATATAATATTTAAAGAAAGTTAACAGCAATGCCAATCATTAGAGTAAAACAAAACCAGAAAGATGCCAACTCAAGCCCCATTCTTCCAAGTTTGCTGTGAGCTGCAATGCAGTTTAGGCAACCAACAAGAGTGAGACAAATATCTGCAAAACAGGCTTTGTATCTTCTTGCCTCACAGGAATGGGAAGAGGAATGATTCATATATACTGCTCAGTTCTCAAAGAGTTAACATTGCCATTTTTATCACACACCTTGTCTCTTCAACAGTTATCTCTGCCAGCAAAAAAGTTTTTAAGAACGAGGAATTTCTTCAATTACATAGCTGCAACTTTTTTTCCTTCTTAAAGGGAAAATATTTTTTTGTTAAATCAAAGGTTTATATTCTCCATGCATTTAACAATAGTTTTGTTGCATGTACCAAGCAACAAAATGCTATCAAAATGCAGCTGCAGATGACCTCGGTGCACAGGGCCATCAAACCCAGTTTTGTTTATTAAATATTTCTTGGTTCACATTGTTTGTGTTCACGTTCTAATAGTCACGGCATTGCCAAGAGTGACGAACTCCTGAAGCTAGAAAAGTCTGACTTTCAACAAGGTGCGAGATAGAGCGATTAAGGCTACATATGTAAGCACTGCCGAAACTTTAAGGGCAAAAAGAAAAGAAACACACTGAGATGTTTTTTTCCTTAGGAGGTCTTTATCTAACTCTCAGCTGATGCTCTTCCGCGAAGCCTGAGCTTTACAAATCTGGCTTCTGAGCGGAGTGCTCGGAGAGCGATCGTAAGTAAACCCTTCACTGCTTTTCCACTGATTTGCTACGTCAGGCCGGCAATACAAACGAGTCACAGTGTTTTTCTAAAGCCTCCGCTCCTGAAGCAGTTTACAGGTTTTTCCTCTCCACACCATTATTACTGAAAACTCTGAGACCACATTACATTATCAGCAGCGTCAGGAGAACTTTTGCTCCTGTGAGCTGTAGTTTTGTTTGGTCTGTGGGAATTGCCTGGGAGACTTCAACTAGAAGAGAGGCAGCGAGATGAAAGTTTCTTCCTTCTCACGGGTTCAGCCTGACTCGCACTGCGAAGGTTCCCGAGCTGGCGGCCTTCGCTTACAAAACAACCCAAAGAAACTGAAACAAAAAAAAAAAAAAAAAACCACACCACCCCACGACCAAAGCCTTGAGGAAGCAGCGCTCACCTCCCTCTGCGGTCTGTAACCCACTCGGTGAAGACTCCGAAGGCTCAGCTTTCCTGCTCCTCTTAACTTTTGCTCCTCTTGGCCACGGCTGGGCAAGGCAGCCGCCCAAGTCCCAGCCCCGCCGAGCCCCTCGCAGCCGGGGCCGCCCCCGCCCGCCCCGCTCGCCCCCCGGGCTCTGCCCTCGCACCAACAGGTGCCACCGACACCCCCGGCCCCAGCCGGGCTGAGCCGCCGCCCGCGCACGCAGAGCCCCGCGAAGCCCGATCGCCTCACCGGGGTAGCGCTGCCCTCCGCCGTTCTCCTCCCGCTGGGCCATGCCCGGACCGCCCCGCAGCCGCCGCTGCGGGACTAGGAGGCGGCCGGCGGCTGCGGCGGGCGGTCCATGTCGCTGCCCTCCGGTCCCCGCGGAGCAGCGCCGGGCTCAGCGCGGCTGAGGCGGAGCAGCCGCCGCTCGCCGGGCGCCCCCTCGGCCCGGCGCGGGGCCTCCCATGGCGACAGCCCCCGCGGCGGGAGCGGCGCACACCTGGCTGCGGGACAGGTGCCGGGCTGCTCCGGGGACGCTCCAGCCCCCGCGGCTCAGGCTCCTCCCGCCCCGCCGCCGCTCCCCCTGCCCGGCACGGCGGGGGAAGCACCGCCCGCCGGGGGAGGGAACGCCTGCGCGGAGGGGGGCGGGGGGCGGCCGCTGGCCGCCATTTTGGATCGTCTCAGCACCCGCCGGGGGGGCGATGGTGTCGGGGGTGTCCGCACCGACCCGCCGCGGAGGCGGCCCGAGAGCGGAGCGGCACTGCGGCTGAGGGCGCTCCGAGGAGTTCCGCGCCCGGGCGGAGCCACTGTTACTCTGCCCGGCGGCTGCAGCCCGTCCTGTGTCACTGCCGGGGGCGGGGGGTGGCCCTGGCGATCCCCGGGGGGAGCAGCACTGCGGCCGGGCTCCGCTTGTGTTCTCGCCTGCGTTTAGGAGGGAAACAAACTTCGGTGGGTTTGCAGGTTTGGGCTGGGGAAGGTCTGGGGGCATCCAGTGCAGGTGTGTCTTTAGCTCTGTGGGACTTTGGCTTTACGCTCTGTAGAACTTTGGCTTTACGCTCTGTAATGCCAAAAGTGGAGGCTTTAGGGTGGTAATTGGCGATTTTTGCATGTGTATCTTTCTTTGCCTTCCGCCTCAGGTGCTCCCCTCGGCCGCTCGCACAGCGGGGCTGTGGTGCACAGCCTGCTCCACGCCCACACTGAAGTCACAGGGGTCAGGAGCAGTCAGCACCTGGCAGGGGCAGAGCTGTCGTGTGTTCCTTATCATCTGTGAAACTCGGGGCTGGTTTTTTCTGCACACGTCACATGTTTCGCACCTGGACTTGGTGATGTGTCTCTACAGTGGTGGTAAGATAAAGCGGGCACCTGAACCGTCACCTCATGCTTCAACTCTTCAAATGCAGAAATATCTAACCTTTTGTTAGTGTAATTAGTTTGATACCAAGCAGCGCTTCAAGTCTTCAAATGCAGAAATATCTAACCTTTTGTTAGTGTAATTAGTTTGATACCAAGCAGCTTCAAGTCTTCAAATGCAGAAATATCTAACCTTTTGTTAGTGTAATTAGTTTGATACCAAGCAGCGGGCAAACCCATGATTATTCAGGCTTTGATGTGGACAAGTTACATCTGAATGAATTGCGAGAGGCAGAGGGAAACCAAGAAGTACTTGCCACCATGGCCCTATTGAAACCAGTTCCATCCTATCAAGATTACTACACGGAAAACTTATCAATCAAAAATTATATCTCTGCAGATAGTTTCTGTTGTTTGGATCTGAGACCAGTACTTATTCTGATGTATTTCAAAGATGAGTATCAATATAAAACAATTTAGGATTGGCATTAATTACTCCATATCTTTTTTTGAAAAGCACTATCTCTGAAAGATAGCTCTCATGTTACTGTTAAAAGTAGGTAAATAGAACCAAAACAGTTTTGAGGCACTAAAAACTTGTTTATGTGCAAAAGTCTTTTGGACCATATACTGTCACTAATTTGTTTTTCAGTATTAATATTTTTCTTCTGTTTTTGAGAGTGGGAATCAATATTTCTATTGGAGCAACCAGAATAATGTATTGTCATCCTGGTATCACTGAACTTGGGTCAGAATTGTTTGGTTTCCAGGGTAAAAAAGAGAATAGAAATACACAGTCATGAATTCTGTAAGTCTGTAGAATGTCTGCATAGGAAATAATGATACTTCCAACTTCCTAATATAATTTAGGCTGAAGAAACTATTAGAAAAACCTGCTGCTGCAAAAAAAGCAGCAGCAGAGCGTACAGAAAATCACAGCCTAGTAAATATAGAAAAATACTCTTTGCACATGAGTTAGATGGGAAAGGGTAAATAGTGTTTCTGGTTGTCATGAGATATTCCAAAAGCTGAGGTGTTTTGCATTATCTGTTAGCATCAGTTCTGTTCATGCCACCTCCGAGGTAAGGTAGTTTCTGTCTGCAAATATTGTGTATTCCTCTGTATGGGTAAAAGCTGAAGGGCTGACACTGTGACTAAATACAGTGTCACACCACTAGTTCTGATGGAAGTGTGGCATGTGCTAATTATTAAAAGGAAACAGCACAGGTACTGCCAGGTACAGGAAGTATAAATGCATAACAGTGCAAAGGGGACCTTTAGCACCTTTCTTTTGCAGCTGTGCAAAATTTAAAGTCCATCCAGAAGGGCACACTGAGAAATCAAGTAAATCCTCAGAAGTGTGATAAGAAGTTAGTTATGGTGCTTAAGTGTGGTTGTCATCAGTCCTCTACCACTGATTCAGGGTTGGGTAAGCCTGCAGAACACTTAACTGTGTAAAAATTCTTGGGATGAAATCCTCACGTTTTGTTCAAGAGTGTCTTACCTGTGGCTATTGTGTAGAAATGAAGCACTACATAGAGCAGCCTCAAACTGGCTACTGATGTTCACCTACTGGGCAAAAAAAATCTACATGGTCTAATAATAGACTGGTGCTACAGAATTTAATTTTTTTTAAAACATGCAATTCCAAAGCTCTGTCATACAGACTCTCATCCATGCCAGCAGAGTTCAATATGCCAGTTTTATGGTTACTGTGCAAGAAAGCATGAAGAGTTTCTGCTCTGTTCTGTCTCAGTGATTTCTCTGGAATATACTCCATATGATAAAAGTACCCAAAATAACAGTCCTTCCTCTGTTTCGTTAGAGCTGAGGAACAGAAACACAAGTTTCCATCATATTTCTTATGCCTATAGATGTGAGAAATCATTCTCTGCTTAGGCTTTCAGTTGTTTTCAAGCTTCAGCAATTTTGCAATTGATACAACTTCAAAGTTATTTTTTTAAGAACTAGATGAGAACATCTAGATTGACTTTTCATTCATCACAAGCCAAGTATGATGCAAGCAGCTTTCAGAGCCAGCCAAACTGAGCTTCATTTGAATCTGCTGTGCAGCTCCTGTTCCATCTTGAAGACAGTAATTTTCTCTCTTAAACTAGAAGACATTTTTTCTCCAGTTAGCCAAAGATTTGCATATTGTGAAGGTACAAGAGTTGTGCCTCACTGAACAGGAGCTGACCTAAGGCTCCTGCCTCCACCTCCCATCACTGTCACTTCAGGCAGTTTTAGCTCACCCAAGCCAGAGTGCAAGTGTTGCAGTGCTGGATACTGTTACCCTCCGTGCTTTACAGAATTACTGCAGGCACGGTGAAGTACCTAATGCATGTTCTATGGTACAAGAAAAGGGATCAATGAATAAATTCAGCTTTCCACTGTCTTGTAGCAATAAAAAGGGTAATGATTCTATGAAAAATATCAGTACCTCAGAAGCAAATGGTGATGCTTTTGACAAATGAATTCTTCTCTATCAGATTCATCACAAATTAATTTTGTTCACATAAAACTAATTTTGTCTGTTTGATAGCAGTCCATTTCCTGCACTGCCACCATCTGCACAGGCATTCCTACTAGCAATGGAATGTCTGTGCACCCAGCCATTTTAATAGGTTTGGGATGAATCAGGAACAGCAGGAGAACGTGCCATTTCATTATCCCAAAACACTGCCTCGTCCTATAGGAACTTAGACCTGATAAAGGCTGAGAAAGTCAGGTCTGTAGCTACCATTACTGTTAAATGCTTCTGTTACCACTGGTTTTAAGTTTGCCTCCATAAGACAGCAAGAAAATGAAGAGCAGGAAAGGCAGGAAAAGCGTGTGAAGCTTTCCAGCATGTTTGAATTGATATTAGTGAGACATGATGCGTGACAGGATTGTTTCTATCACTGTCTACAAGCTGTTTAGGAAGGACAAAATGAGTAATAAGGTGTGAAGAAGTAAAACTATACAAACTAAAAATATTACTTCTTGTGTAATATCTCAGAATTGCAGAATCCTAAGTGCCCATAAACAATTGCTGACAAAGCCCCTGTGGTACCTCTGTTACAGATCTTCACTCATCACTAAATCACACCAGAGAGGGAAACGGGGCTGTTATTATGCACAGCTGCATAATGAAAAGTTGGAGTGCTATAGCAGATTTATTCTCTTAAGTAAGCACAATTTAAATTACATTTCCCAAAGCAAATAGATCTATTCTATAACAGAAAAGGCATTGGACTCAACATGTGGCAGTTTTCTATTGGAATTCACTAGGGAGAAAAAAAGAAGTACTGAACTAAAAATGAGTTGTTGTCTAGAACTAGTAGTGATGAATGAAACTAAGTAACATTTGTTTGGGGCAGGTAACAGATGCCATTAATGTATCTCCATGGATCTTCAGTGCTTAAAAGAATCTAATATTTTTGTATTGAATAAAATTACAGGAAAAGTGGCAGAAAAATATTTAAAAACCATGAATGACAACTGAGACTTCTTGAAGACTTTTTGTCAAATAGATAAGAGTTCCAGAATCAAACAACTGAGGGCTCAAATCCCATTACAAAGGACAATTAGAAGCCAAACAACAATGCAAAAATTACAAGTTATGTAAACAAAAATGAAAAAGGCAAAATCCTACTGAAAGGGTATTGGGAATATAAAGGATGCTAACAGTCCTTAACATTCATTATTGCATGAATATATGAACTGTGCAAAAATGAAAAATTCAATACCAATTTCTTTCCATATCAGGAAGGGATCAGGGTGGCTCATCATAGCAGGTAGGAATTAATGAGGCAAATTTTGGACAAGAGGCTTAACAAGTAAGTTGTACTTTTTTCAAACACAAGTTGGGGATCAAACTGTATGAGTTTGTGTGGGTCATTGCATCGTTCCTGACACATTTGTCTAATCTGTCCCTAAAAATCTTCAGCAGTGGAAGTGGCATCCCTTTTTAGGCAGTGCTTATGTATTTGCTTTCAGTACTGCTGCTGTACTGTACTGCTCTCTGCTTGAACATTTCTGTGGCTACAAACAAGCAAAGCACTGAAATGATTCTGAAAATATGCTCATCTATACTTTTTAACAGGCTTGATTGCCTACAATGGTTTTAGAAGAAATTCAAGAACTTGAGAGTGCTCAATTCTGTGAGGCAAGGAGAGTTGCTACTTCCTGCTGTGTCTGTTTCCTTGTAGTGAGTAAAAGGTCTATGTGGAAATGATGGGCAGATAACCCTTCATTAACAACTCCTGAAGTCTTCGGGACAAGCAGTTGTAGCAACACTGAATGCCGGTTACTGCTGTTAATAGAAGGAACCCTGCCTTGTACTGAGAGGGAGGTAGAGACTTCCTACTGCTTTTGCACTCTTGGATTAGCTGGGTCCTATGGCTGCAGATACACAGCAGTACCAGACACGGTCATTCCAGCAGCACCTGCCCTGCGGGAAGGCTGCCAGGCAGGAGGAGGCAGCACCCGAGGCAGCCTCTCAGCACAGTCTCTGTCCTCGGTGTGTTTATAGTGAAGCTGTTACGGATGAAGGAGGGCAGGGAGGCCAGTGTTTTGTGTCACCCAGTGGCTTTTTCCCATCAGTGTGCTGACCCACTGTCAGCTGTTTTCCCCTTTCATCCCATTATCTTCCCCTTGGAGCATAGAGGCACCTCATAAAATTTATAAGCACTTGCACATAATAACACATTTTAGGAGAACCCTGAACAACAGAACAGGAGGCTTACTGTAGGAAGCTAAAATATGTCAGTAAAGTCTCATTTGTCCCAAGCTTCTGGAGTCTTGTTGCTACTAGTTCCATGGATCATAAAAGAAAATTATGTGAGATGCTGTACATGAAAGCTAATGACTAATTAATTGGGGATAATACTTAACTATGCTGGTCTTGGCAGGGAAATAATGAGCTACTGTCAAGGAATCCTGGCTTTCCAGAAGGTGCACTCCCTTCCCATGTATTTTCACATCGGACAGCACCCCTGTGAAGTCCCAGTGTGACGTGCATTTACAGCTGCCCCACTGCTGACAGGTGCACTTGCTCCCTAGGACTATGCAGTGGGGTTTGCACGGCAGAAGCATTGTTTACATTGGAAACTAATTCTTTAAGATATATGGAGTTCATTCAGATACAGCAATTGAAAAGCTTGGCTGATTCTTTTATCAAGCATGTTCTATAAGCACAATGAAAATATATTCCTTCTGCTGTATTTAAGAAATAATTGAAAATAATTTATGCCTTTAAAAGTTTCAACTATCAAGTTTGAAGCATGCTAGATACTAATGAACAAAAGTATTCACCCAAGGGCCTTACAGAGCAAGTCTTTTCCATTATTTCCAATTGTGTATTTGTGGTGTTTTCACTGCACTTCCAATTCAGCAGAATCTGAATCATTCTGCACAGAATCCCAGGTCCCTTTGGCTGCAGACCTACAGCACCAGAGTGCACCCAGCTCCACCAAGTGAAATGTGAGCTGTTGGGAGTTTTTTTCCTTTCTATGAAAAGAGGTGCATCTGTGGAATGAGGAGAGTGCACTTTCGTGGAATTTACTGACCATTTAATGGCTGAACGCAAGTTGAAAGCAGAAATAAAAGTCTGCTGGTTTAGATCCCCTGCTATATACAAGTTCTTAAACTGTTATGTGTGAAAGGGTCTGGGTTTGTGTGGGTTTAATTTCTTTCTTAAAGAGATTTTGTGTTTTCTAAATGTGAAGTTGTCCTTACAAATTTTTGGAATGAGATTATGATATTTTATGCACAAATAAGGTGGGGACTAAGCTTATTTTGTCTTTTTTTGTTTTGTTTTGGTTTTTTTAAGAACAGATGCAGTGTATTTAATTTTCCTACCTTGTATTGAAAAAGAATAAAAAATAGTTTTAAAAATTACAGCAATGAAAAGGACTCCTGAACTTGGTATCTCATGCTATTTCTCCAGAATGTTTGATGCTTAACTGCCATGTTGTATTTAAGCTATACAATTAGCCAAAGAAAATAAAGACACACACACACCATCCAATTGTCCTTTTATATTTTTATTCGGTGTTAAGTAACTCCACAAGAAAACAAAATCAGTTACTCTGGTGTACGTGAAATCAGAACAATACAACCACTTGAAGCAAAAAGTAGAAACAAATTTCAGCCCAGGAATGGAAAACTGATACTTCAGTGCTATGGATATGCAATGAGCTTCATCCCACAGTGCGGTTCAGCGTACGCCAACCTTTAATGCTTTTGTTGTTGTTGTTGTTGTTGTGTGTTTCTATCCATATAGAAAAACTAAAAACCACACTTCAACTCTCACTGAAAGCCTTAGAGCTTTAGCCATTAAACTATGAAAACAAGTAAAGACAATTTGTTATTGCCCAAGCTCAGTATAGGATTTTATTTTCCCCAAAGGTGCTGGAATCATTACACACCACAATGTAACTACGAGCAACACCTTTGATATTTTGAGCCCTTTCTTACCAAAGAAGCAGCTCAAGCCAGTATTAACTGAGCTGAAGTTTGTGTTTGAAATATGTCCATTTGGTCATTTCCTGTTCTCAAATGAAGTTCTATTCCATTCTTCACTGTAGTGATTTGAAGAATTTGTGTGTAAAGTTCTTTTTTTACTTTCATGTTACAGTTAACTAGTTCTCAGTGCAGGTGCTAAACAACCTCTCAAGGAAGCTCCAGAAGAAAGTAAAATATATAAAAATCTATTCAAAGTCTGCAAATAAATTAAGAAAAGAAACTGTAAAGTGTCAAAAGATTTGTTGTATGAATACAAACCCTAAAACATAGTCTAAGAGGAGGACCAAAAGAAAGTCCCCGGGTAAGGGCAACCAAGCCAATTTTAGTAAGGATCTCACCAAAAGCGTTGCACAAAGACTGGCATGGTTCCCCAACCACGTATTTAAATTCTTACACTGTCAACTGAATAAAGGCAACAAAACCCAGTTACTCAGAAAGCATTTCTAGCGCAGAACATATTTCAAAGGCAGTTCAGCTCACATTTCAAACAGCTACGTTTCTTGTGAGGTTTATTGCCTGTCAAAATTAATGGTGAAGCTTTTCAAGTCAGTGTTGGACTCTCTGCACTTCCTGGTGTTCTAGACATGCTGCAATCGTGTAGACTAGTTAGTTGTTGTAATTTTTTAAACTAGGAGTTGGTAAAAACTTAGAATGTTTAGTTTTGCAAATATTGCTCCTCCTGGCTTATACATTTTGCATAATGTGTTAAAAGCACAAGGAGTTGATAGTCTTGTACAGATGCAACTTGACAATGTATTGACTTTCTAAGTTAACAAAATAAAATTTAAAAGCAAGTCACATAAAGCAACAATCACTACTGCAATCACACATGTATGTTGTAAGTCATCACCTTCCCTACCCCCACCCACCACACACAGAACTTGCCCCACACATTCTCTCAGGAACACAAAATGAACTACGAGATTTACTAAATTACAGCCACAACAGCAGCTAACTGCAGCAGCCACAGGATTTCTTTCAAGTGAAGCACTGACCCTTTGCATTTAGAACATTGAACACTCTGAGCATTTTAGAGAGTTTCAGTCATTCAGGCTCAAGTTCAGTTACAGGATGCTTTTGCAGGTTACATGAATGCCTTCATCTGCAACAAGACAACATTCTCATTACTCGTTAACAAAATTCACAACAATCCACACATCACCCCAGTGGTTTATTATTTTTGGTGTTACTTTTTAAACTTCTGCCCCACATTGGCAAGTTGCTAAAAAGGACAAAAAAAAGAAAAAAAGGAAAAAAAACCCCACATTGCCTCCAAACCTACAAAAAATCCTTGGCTTCTCCAGTTAGCAAAAATACAAACCATGGTATCCTCAGTGTTGGTTTGCGGGAGGGGGGGAATCATAGGATAGAAAACACAGTTTCTGTAAGTCTCTAAAGCACAACCCTGTTGTTCCTACTTCAAAGTTATGAGATTTACTGAATGAAGACTGGACAAGTCATTCATGCTTTTCTCCTGCATTCAGAAAGGCACTGATAGATTACAGTGTTAAGTATTTATCTCCCAGTTCTTAGAGAACAAAGCCTAATGTGCAGAAAGCTGAAGTCTCTGAATAGCAGAAGTAGTTGTAGACACTGCGATGCTAAGAAGATAGTAATAGTGGTAGGGCTACAGTTACGAATGAAAATAACTGCAATTAAGATGCAAAAAAGCAGTGGTACTACTAAGACAAGCACATGCACATCCATTCTTGATTTGACAACACAATCTAGTCTAGTTCAAATAGCCAAGAATTTAACAGTATTTTTTGGGGAAAAAAAATCTTCAACAGGACAGCTGTGTCCTCATCTATAAAATAAGCAAGAAGAGAAAGATAAATACACATCTGAATCCATTAACTGAAGAGGAAACTCAAGTTGTTGTTTTAGAGCTACAGACCCTCAAGAAGGATAGTTTTCCATCTCATGTTACTTTTCAACCATCTTTTCTACTCTGCAGTTTTTACAGTTGAGTTCGAGAAAAAAGCTCCTCCTCACACGGATCAGCCCATTCACTTCCACCTTCTGAAGCTGTGTCTTCAGAGCTGGAGCTATCACTGGAGTAGATCTTCTTCCTGAAGCCATTTGGTTTTGCCTCAGCATTTATATCATCTGCACATCTTGCTTCATAAACAGAAGAAACCTAAGGATTTAAACTGACAGTGTTGATGGGGAACAAAAAAGAACACGCTTGCTTTTCTCTGGGCGGGGAGGTTACATGGTTTTGTAGTTGTCCAAGAGAGATGCCAAGATTACAGGGCAAGTCCTTCTCTTTCCTAAATTAATCCACTATGCAGAAAGGACTGCAGAACAGCAGGATAAAAAGGTGGGGCTTTTATTATTTTTTCCTATTCCTTAATTTTAGGATTTGCACAAAAAAAGCAAGAGAATCAAAAGCAAACTCAGTTAGGATGTATCTTTATCACAGTTTATGTTAGAAAAATTACTGTAAAAGGTATCTCCCAAACTTGGTAGTAAGTATTAAATAGCAAGAAAACACAGCACAGATCTGACTAAACTTCAAGCAAATGTATTTTCAATATATGTTCAGCTGAATCAGTAAAGCCACAGCAAGCATGTCATAGTGTAAATGTAGTGCTATCATCACTATGAAGTTTAAAGGTGTATCAGTAAATACATGTGAACATGACATTTTTTCCCTACAGAAAAAAAAATTGGGTTTTTTTGCTTGTAATGAGGACAGAATTCAGCAAAAATTATCTTTATGCCTTCAGTTACTGGTCCTTTCTGCCCTCACAATGCATATCAGCCCACTCTACGCTTGCTTAGTTGAGGAAAAGAAGACTCACGTTTAACACTCATGACAAGCAAATGCCAAGCATTCCCAAAGGAAACTGGCTTTGCTTATCTACTAGAAGTACAACTATTCGTACAAAGGGTTGTACTCCCCAAAGTACAACACCTTGAGGAATTTTCAGAAGAATGCCCAAGATGCAGAGGAGATTAAAAAACAAAGTAAGGAAAGAAAAGCTTTTGAAGGTTTTGCAGGAATTTCATTTGAGGTCAGATTGAGAACTGTGACGAAAGAAAAGATGCAGTAGCCCGCCCTTATAAAATAAGCAAAAAACTTCCTCCCCCAAACCAATGACAAACTTACCATATTAAAATCTAAAAGATGTTCATCATCATTGGATATTTCCTTTACATCTGCAAGTTCTCCTACACCATTCTCTCCCTTGGCATTTGTATAGCACTCTTACATTGTGTTTGTGGGGGTGTTTCAGAGGAAAAGGAAGAAAAAACAGAATTGAGGAACACTGTTATTTACATTCAGCCAAAATGAAAGCATCCAGAGACGTATTCTTGAAATTCATACTCTAGCCCTCTGTGCTTGTGGGGGATTTTATGGTCTGACACCCTTTCAGAGATAAGCATAATACCTTATGGAAGCTTCATCAAATCCTACCTGGATAACGAAATAATAAAAGAGGAAGCTACCTAGTTAATGAAAACATCTAAAATACTAAAGTATAAAGCAAGAATTACTTTCTTATCATAAATGCTTCAGTGCATTTTTCAATTCTGATGTTGCACGGTGTTCCAGATCATTCCTATTTCTATCCCCATACAGTACAGTCTGCGACTGCAGCCTGATCCTCACTGAAGCTCAAAAAAACCCCCTGTTGATGTGAATGGCTGTGGTTTCTACTTACCAGAGTAAACTTCTATATAGAATATCAACACATCATATAGATATACATGGATCACATGCATCAATACCCATTTCTAAAAAATACCCATACGGAAAAACTGGATACAGTTTGCGAAAGAATAACATCAGCTCTGAGGATAAAGTTCCTTGTTTAAAAAGTCTCGTTTAAAAGCCGAGTCTGGAAGAGCGAACCCCGGGACTGTCGTACCTCACGGACACTCTGCCCCGCCCCAGCAGGTTCTGCCCGCGGCCGCGCTCCCCCCGCAGTTACGGCCCTTCACCGCCAGGGGTCAGCACGAGCCGCTCCCGGCGCCGGGAGCCGCGGGTGTCACCGGGAACAAGCCACGGCTCTGCCGCAGGACACCGAACACCCCCGCTTCGTAAAGACGGGGCTATTTCGAACAGGGGAGGTTCTGTGACCAGTCCTGCACCCATCAATCTCTTGTCTTTCGTTGTGCACATTTCTAGAGTTGGGAGCAAAGTAAGTTAAGATGTTCTTGAAAGTAACCCAAACTGTCCTGAACACCCAAGTAAGGGCGTTTTGGCACCGAGAATACGGTTTAGTTGCACTCCTAAAGTAGTTCAGTATCAACCACTGGCTAATCTACTACCAGATTATTAAGGAACCAGGTCTCAGATCAAAACTTTCTTGCCCTGAACCTCTACCAACAGAAAGCACCAGAGAGCCTATCAATTCAGGATACAAAATGTTCTGGTTTAGCTTCTTGCCGTCTCCCAGAAAAGGTGAACTGGTATGCAGGCAAAAAAACCCGCCTGGATTCTTGCCTGTCCACTGAAAACCTGGGCTGAGTCAGCTGTCAGATACTCCAGATTCCTGGGGGTTCTGGAAGCACACCTGCTTCTGCTCACGAGCAGCCTGCCTACCAGGAGTGGACTTGCTCTCTGTGTGGCACAGAAAAATTCCCTGCCTGTCAGTGTGAATGAAGGGAGTGGCCAAGTGGCAAATCCCTCTCCTTCCCAGTCTGAGAGAGATTCCACACATTCACTGAACAACTGGCATGTTATTTATGCAAACCCATAAAAGGTAATCATCATGTTTTCACATTCTTATAAAATTACCTACCAAGTAAGGATTTTCTCAGGATGAAACATTAAGAAACGTAATAAAATATTTTCAGAGTTAGAGATTCATTTTCTGTTTACTTAATTGCAGGCTCTGGAATTAAGTAAACTTGCATAAATATTAAGACTACTTTAAAACCACTTCCTTTTGAAACCAATTTAGAATCATGCTAGAGATCTACTACAAGTACAATTGAAGCATCCCAGTTCTCTCTCTGATAAGAGAACTGATTGTGGAAGCTTACTGGTGTGGGTTTTTTATATCTAGACATTAGTTCCAATTCATCTGCAGCAATTCCAGTCCATAACAAGGAGTATTTTGCTCTAACACAGGTGCAACAGCAAGTTAGTTCTAAGAGGCAGAGGTGCTTACCTTCACACTGTGATGCAGGAAAAAGGGGAGAATAGAGCGCCTTTTCCCACCAGCATTGCTTTTCCTGGCTGCCACTCATTCTCTGCAGATTAGTATTCAATATAGGAAAGTGTTTAGACAATAATCACACTTCATTATGCCATAAATAATATACTTACATGTAAAGGAGGAAACCCTGATATTACAACTAATTTGCTAGATCTTATAGGTCAACACTGCTCAATTTCTAATCCTAATGGGAAATGACTGTCCAACTACAGCGGAACATCCATTCTCTGAACTCTTACAGCCAATATGAACCATGCTGGGGCTCAGACTTTGCCTGATACAGAGTTGTACAAATCCAGAACAAAAAAAATTAATTCCATCCCTACATTTTACAATCTACAGAGAGATGGAGGCATAGTGAAACGTTAGTCAACATGGTGAATAGTTAGTGTAAAACGAAACAGAAAAGAAAGAAAAAAGGGCGGCAAAATTTCTAATGTTAAAAGTCTGGAAGGGTGAATCAGCAGTACCAATACCCAATGGGAAAACAGAAAATTAAACTAGAGAATTATGTGCCAACATGAGGAAAAAAGTGGTTATAAGGATGTTCAATAATTTGTCTTTATGCTAGAAATAATCAATTCACTAAGATTGCCAAAATACTTCCTCTCTCCTCTATATTTTAATGCTAATTGAAGTTTAACAGAGCCCTTTCCTTATGACATTAATGGACACGGCTAAAATACCAAGGGTTTCTCACAACAGACATGTCCCCAGTTTTATGGTTGCACTGAGGTAACCCCGTTAAACTTCAAAAGATGATGCCATCTTGTAACATCCTCTATAGATATTAGACAGAATGATTAAAAAACCAAACTACAGTGCAATTACCTACAACAAACATTAACAAATGAGCTTCAACACTGACTTTCTATCCAGCTTCCTCCTCTGTAAGCCTGAGAACATTTAAGCACGGAAAATTAATGAACCTCCTTTTGTTCCTCCTTACACTACTGTAGACTAAACACCTATAGAACTTACACACACTTATTCCTTAATAAAGAGAAGTTCCTCTCACACCAAAGGAGCAACTCAAGAGTGCTGTATCCACACACATGTGCCAGATT